AATCGGAGACCTGAGGTCTCGCGTAGGTCTCCGCCGGAGACCTAAATCACAAAAAGGTACGGCGATTTCTCCATTCTCACAATATTTGAAAGATTTTTCAAACACTTCTTCTATTTTTTGTTGTGCATCTTTATGCCAATTTTGGTGGCTGTTCATTGCTTATTCGCTTAGAAAAATGGGTTCATCTAAATTCCAAACTCTTTTAAATTTCCCGCACAAACGCCCGCATTGAAACGAATTGAAACTTTGCTGGAGCAGGCTTTGGTCTTTTAATGGGTGTGGAATTGAGTACTGAATCAGACAGAAATAGTTAAGCCGCATGCATGAACATCCGCGGTAGCGAGGAAAGGAGAGGGGAAGAAGGTAGCTTCAACATTCTTGTTGTGGAAAAAGCGGTCTTAATTGAGATAGAACTCCGCTCTTCTCCGGACCCCATACGATTTCTCCTTTGCTTTTTCCACAAAAACGAATTAAAGCTTGCCTTCCGGAGACCTGTCGTCGAGGTCTGAAGTACCTGGGGACTGCATGTGTTTTGACGTAATAAATCTTTTAGCATGGAAGTTATGCGGGGAAGAATATATTGATGAAACCGCTTGGGAAAGGCCACTATTTCGAGTAAGGGAACATCTAGACGATTGTAAAGCAATTATGTGTACGCCCCTAGGCACTCATCGTAGGTCGCGTCATAAAAACAACGAAATTTGAAATCTGGGTTTCAATACTATTGTTGAGATGGTGGCATGCAAAACCCTAGAAGCATCTGGATTTCGCAGAGATTCCAAGAAAGAACAAGGAAGAATGAATGGCCTAAGCGGAATTCGCGCAGTTTCTATTTATGCGGTTTTGAGCCCCCCCCCCCCTCGCAAATTTCCAGGGCACCATTCACTATTCACTGACGTGTACCTATGGGGTCTTGTGAGCTGTATAGGCTTTTAAGTCAACCCTGGAAGCGATGAAAACGTTTGGGAGGATACATCTCATCTTCCTCACTTTCCAGGCTCTAACGAAGGCGAACAAGCCGGAAAATAAGCCTAATAAACCGTTACACCAATCTTGTACGACTCAACGCTCAAAGTATGTAAGGATGGCAATATTGAAGTTGAACCTGGAAGATCGTTTTCCGTCTGGCATAGTGCTATTAATTAGGAGGCGGCACGAATATACCCTTTGAATTCAAATGCGGGAAAACACTCTTGCATTTCATTTTATCTAGGTACTCCGCAAACTACAATTTTC